CTCTTGGGACATTATAGAGAATACTAGAGGCCCGTTGCATGAAGATTCACACAATAGGCCTTCCTTCCCCTGGCTGCCAGCACCAGTTTTCCTCCAGTACCTGGGACCCAGACTTTTGATCCGACCGCAGTGGAGAAGTGAAGCCTCAAGGCTAGACTTATCCGCTGCAGCCACAGTGAGGCTTGGCTTCTCCGCTCCAGCCGCAGCAGAGAAGCCAAGCCTCTTCAGTCTTCTTCAGTCTTCACTCGGGCCAGAGCCTTCAGTCTTCACTCCGCACCTGCATATGCAAATTAACCCACCATCTTTGTTGGGTTAATTTGCATACTCATCCTGATTGGCTGGTGGGTATAGTGGAGTGATGATCAATTTACATATTTCTCTTTTATTAGTGTAGATATTTTAGACACAAAGGGAAGGCATTGACCTACCTTTTCTCCAAGACTGCTAATAACCCATCTACCTCATCCAAAGGGATTGGCCTGCTATTTGTTCCTATCCCACTGGCCATCTCTCTTTGGTATGAACACCTTTTCCAAACTGGATCAACTAGATTGTCTCTACAGAGAAATGGAAATCAGTCTCCAGATGTATCTAGATATCTAACAGGAAAACTACAGCAATTTCAATCTTTCATATAGACTAAACAACAGAGAACACTGGTTCGCAGAGAAATAAGAATTGAGCACATGTTCCAAGGAAGTAGATATGAGAGAAACAGAGAGATATGCTCGTTGGGTTCCTTACAGCTTTCCCTTTTCTGGTTCTAATCCCTTTCCAATATCAGCTGCATTCCTTACTGTGGATTCTGCAAAACTTTCACTGTGTCCTTATAAGTTCACTCAGCTTTTTACATCCCCCTAAACGGAGTTTGTTTTAAAGAAACCTAACCAATACAGATGTGTGGAATCTAAAATGTGTATCCAACACCTAAGAGGAGAGATAGTTGGAAATGTGGGTCTGAAGGCAGAGTTAAGGTTGGCAGAAGATCCTATGGTTTGGGTAAGGGGGTAACCAAAGTCACTTAAGCAAATGAAGTCACCATAAACACCTCAAAGTGAATGGGGCAAAAGGGAAGAGGATAAAGAGAGGAAATGCAGATCTCTTAGGAACTTTAATATATGTAGTATAAGAAATGGGTCACAGAAAGAGAAGTCAGTGAAGAAGTTTAAAAAGAACAAGAAACTAGGAGAGAAGGTTTTTATTTTTTAATAATTCTTTATTGTTGAAAGTATACATATGTCCCCTTTTTCCCCCATTGACCCCCTTCAGCCCATCCTGCACCCCTCCCCCTCCAGGCCTTCAGCACCCTATTGTCTGTGTCCATGGGTTATGCATATACACATACAATGTCTTTGGTTGATCACCTCCCACCCACTAACCCTCCCCCAACTTCCCTTTGAGATTCTGCACTCTGTTCCATGCTGGGAGAGGTTTTTATAGAAGTCAAGATATAAAAGTTTTCAGGTTGTACTTATAGGAAACCCAACCACCAGTAGTTTAAACAGGTACTGAATTATTTGTCACAAACAGCAAGATGTTCAGGGCTGGTACAAAAGATCAACAAGTCCATGAGGGACTTAGGTTCTTCCCCGCTCTCCTACCACCATCTTTAGCATTTAGCTCTCATCTTTATGGTCAGACGGTGGTTGTTACCCTTTCCAGGTAGAAGGAAAAGGAAAAGAGAAAGGGTGAAGGGTAGTAAGGGTGCCAATCTCTTTTCAGAAAAGCAAAAAAATGTTGCCAGCAGCCCCACTAATGTCTCATTAGTCCAACTCTTCCAGTTGGCCATCCCTAACTGGGGGACTACAAGAACTGGTTGAGAGTTGAGTCAGCCACTTAGCTTTTTAAAAAATATGTATATTTTATTGATTTCTTATAGAGAGGAAGGGAGAGAGATAGAGCGTCAGAAACATCCATGAGAGAGAAACATCAATCAGCTGCCTCCTGCACACCCGCTACTGGGGATGTGCCTGCAACCAAGGTACGTGCCCTTGACTGGAATCGAACCTGGGACCCTTCAGTCTGCAGGCTGATGCTCTATCCACTAAGCCAAAACAGTCAGGGCCAGCCACTTAGCTTTTTGCAACAGAATGTAATCAACAAGAGTTACCAGGAGCTCAAGAAGAAGAATAACTAGAGAGATTGGGGGGTGGGAGGACACAACAGGACCATGCAGCGTGTTGCAAAGCTCCTAATATCCTTATCAAAGGCAATTTCAGGGTGTATCAGACATAGATAGAGTTGCTGAAGACCTACTGGTGGGTGAGAAATGAGAATGGTTCTTTCCTAATGTTTGAAAAAGAATAATGTAGGAGGCAAAAATCTAAAGGAGAGGCATAATTGCCCAGCTGGCATGGCTCAACGGGTTGAGTGTCACCCTAGGAACCAGGAGGTCACTGTTCGATTCCCAGTCAGGGCACATGCCAGGGTTGCAGGCTCCACCCCAGTGGGGAGTGTACAGGAGGCAGCAGATCCATGATTCTCTCATCATTGATGTTTCAATCTCTCTCCCCCTCTCTCTCTGAAATCAATAAAGAAATATATTTATTAAAAAAATTGAGAAGCATAATGGAGATATATTTTGCTTGGCTTTAGGATTGTGGATACTTGAGCATGTTTATAGGCTGAGGAGTAGAAATTATTGGAAAGGGGAAGACTTGAGGTTTAAATCTATGAAAAAAAAGTCCAAAACCATAGGTGGCAAAAATTAAACATATCCTCTTCCTCCAAAACAAGACAGGACGGATAATAATGATAGTATATGTTTAGATGTGGGCATGAAAACAAAACAAAACACGTGGAATTGTTGAAAATTCTATTTTGGCAAAAAATGTTTTAAAAGATAAACTTTGAATCCACTATTTTCCCGTCTTAAGAAAGGCATGAGAAAGCAGTAAGACCTCACCAGAATTAAGTGTGTGTTGTTGATGTAGATCTCCGACCAAACAAGCTGAGACCACTTTAAGATTGTTGTGATTTACAATCAGAGGGAGATGGAGAAGAATGGGGTCTTTTTTGAGTAACTCCATGTTTCACTTTTCTTTTTTTAATATATTTTACTAGAGGCCCCGTGCACAGATTCGTGCACTGGCGGAGTCCTTTGGCCTGGCCTGCACCCTCTCGCAATCCAGGACCCCTCAGGGGATGTTGGAGAGCCGGTTTCTGCCCAATCCCCCGCAGGCCGAGGGACCCCACTGGTGCACAAATCCATGCACCAGGCCTCTAATGCGCCTATAGGATCTTTGGTTAATCTCTTTCCCCCTTCCTCCCTTCCCTCTGAGATTCATCAGTTTGTTCCTTGTTTCCATGCTTGTGGTTTCTGCTCCTGTGTTGAGCGTCTGCCCCCTGGTGGTCCGTGCACATCATAGCTCCCAGCCAGTCACTTAGGCTTTTATATATGTAGACTAGAGGCCCGGTGCACAAAAATTTGTGCACTCAGGTGGGAGGGTGGTCCCTCAGCCTGGCCTGTGCCCTCTCACAGTTTGGGAGCCCCGCAATCAATTTCCCCAAAGTGGTAGGCCTTGCCCACCCATCAGGAGTTCCTCAATGGATTGTTCCAAAGAGGTAGGCCGGAGCAGGTAGACCAACTTCCATGGCTCCACAAGCACGCATCACCAGAACCCGTGCACACCCACTGTGCACCCATCCTCCTGGTGATAGACTGTGACAGCATAAGGGCATCACAGTGTGATGGTGTGAGGGTGACATACGGAGCTGCAGGTATCTGGTTTGTTTGCGTTCTATAATCGAAACTGTATCAACTCCAGCTCTGAGATCCTGAAAGCAGGTTTCTGGCGTTTTGTTTAGCTTCTATATTTGTTACAATTTTTCTTAAATTGCAAGCTCAGAGGCCCCGCAAGGCAGGTAGGGAACCTTGGAGCCTCCATCACTGAAGCAAGCAAGCCTCATGTTAGTTTCAAGCTGCCTGGCTGCCAGCCGCCATCTTGGCTGGCAATTAATTTGCATATCACCCTGATTAGCCAATGAGAAGGGTAGCAGTCCTACACTAATTACCATGTTTCTCTTTTATTACATAGGATTGACTTTTTGCAGAGAGGAAGGGAGAGGGATAGAGTTAGAAACATCCATGAGAGAGAAACATCTATCAGCTGCCTCCTGCACACCCACTACTGGGGATGTGCCTACAACCAAGGTACATGCCCTTTACTGGAATTGAATCTGGGACCCTTGAGTCCACAGGCCAATGCTCTATCCACTGAGCCAAACCGGTTAGGGCCATGTTTCACTTTTCTTCCGCCTCTCCATTCCCGGGCTGGAGGGCCCCAGCGCATACGGAGATGATTCTTGCCATTTTTCTCACTCTCCTGGGGTACGGAACACGGTGAGAAAAAGGGCAGCAGGAGCCACAGGCAAGGCCCTTCCGGACGCATCCAGAACTTGCTCTGAAAATGTACTTGGATCGCGCTCTCCAACTCCTTCCCCTCGGGACGTCTGGGAGGGACGCTCGGCAGGACTAGGGAGCAGGAAGCCGCACCCAGAACCTTCAGAAACCCGGGCAGCAACGGAGGCCGCAGGGTTGGCAGAACCTATTAAAGAAGCAGCAACGGCAGCGACCCAGGTTCCGGCCTCCCGACTTCAAAAATCACAGCGAGACTCTGCCAAGCCCGCCCTGACGCGTGGAAGACAATGGTCCTCACTTTTCATTGGCTGGAAGTAAGACCGTACTCCATTCCCATTGGCTGTTGCTTCTGTCACGTCCCTTCACCACACCCACTTTCCCATCGGCGCCCAGTGAGCGCTGGGGGAGAGTGATTTCCCCAAATCGGGGCGGGAGCCCCCGCGGCCCGCTCCTGCCCCTCCCCGGCGCGGTGCGGCCCC